GCTGAGGGGAGCAGTGGGCGGGTCAGAGAGGTCTGCCGTGCCATGTGGGTCACCTCTGGGGTGGGGATCGAACTCATGCTGAAGCGGCTGCGGTCAGCTTGCAGTGCTGTAACTTAACCTGCATCACCACCAGGGAGGGCCAAATGTGTAGTTTTTAGGGCTCTTTGAAACTTAAAGAAGGCGTGGGCAGGAAAAGATGGATGTTTCCTAAGGTCACGTGCTTCTGTGAAGTCCTAGAGGGGAAGTGCGATGCGTGAACTTTGTGGGGTTCCTGGAGCCCCATGAGTGGAGGGACTCTCACAAGACTAGAGCGTGGCCTGGGTGAGGAAGAGTTTCCATGCCCATGACCTTCTTCTCCCATATTGTGTGAACACATCAGGGAGCAGTTTCCTACCAGAAACAAAGACCCGCAGGTGAACAAGTGTCCTCTCTCCTGCTAAGACTTTTGGGGCAAGAAGGAAACCACTGAAATAACTGCTTCCCTGATGAAGCAGTTATTTGACCCGGGGGTGTCAAGTCCTGGGGTCCGCTCAGCCGTTTGCAAAGCAAGAAGAGTTTCAGAGGACGCGATGGGACAGCTCTGAGAGGTTTCTGTTCTATCGCAGAGACCCTGGGGTGGGGGTGAGGGCGGGGGTGGACCTGCTCGTCCTGACGTGGGTGGGGGTGTTGTACTTGGTTCTTTGGGTCTCTACTGCTGTCCTGTTGCTCTAGGACCTCTCGACCCCTTTCTTGTGGTTCCCCCGGGAGGTATGTTAGTCTGTGTCAAGCTTTTCAGCCTCATCCACCCCTCTTGGTCCATGCTGACTGCCTGTGCATTTGCCCATGAGAGTATGGGTATTGGGGGGGGTCGGTGATTACCATGGGGATGTTTTTGGGAATCCTTCTATCTCTTCCTGGAGACCAATTCTATTCAAAATATTTTACTCTACGAGCCTGCTTTCTTTGTCCTCAGTTGAGCACCTTCCAAAACCAGGATGGTGCCAGGGTCTCCAGTACCCACAGCTGGGAGCCTCCCCCAGGAACACTGGGAGATGATGGGTGACAGTGAGCCAGGCAGTTGCCCTTTTCCCTGGTGCTGGGATGACCGGGCTGGGCCTGTCCAGGACAAGTTTGACCACGGGGAGGGGCCCTGAGGCCAGGGAGGCCCAGAGGGCCTGGGTGGGACTTAGGGCTCCCAGGGGATATTAAACGGACCTAAGAGCAGGCAGGCCCACCCTGACTGAGCACCATGGCCTTGCTGGGGCTTCTCTCCTGCGTCACCCTCATCGGGGCCTCCTATGGTGAGTGTTAGTGTCTGAGGGACTAGCAGTGCTTGGGAAGGTTTGGGGTCAGGGCCCTGAGAGTGGTTCAGCAGGCCCCCTACAAGGATGAGGATTTCTGCTCGATGTAAGGTCTTGTATCCTGACTAAGGTGCACTTTGAGTCTCTCTCCTGTTCCCTTCACCTCAGTACAGGCAGCCTGACCATGGAAACAGAGTGGCCTCTGCCTCACAGCTATGCCAGGTGTGGAACAGATCCTTCTGGGCCTTAGAGGATGGATCACCCAGGTGGTGGACAGGTGTGACCAAGAGGGTCACTAAGGGCGTAGCCATGAGGGACTTGCAAGGATTGTGTATTTTATTTTGTTCCATAAACCACCAATGTTTCAATATTTAAAAACAAACAGAAAGAAAAGTAGTATGCTATCTGTGCTTAGGGTTAAAAAATGTTACTATCCCAAGTTTGTTTCAGGGTTTTCTCTGACACCCACAGCAGGCTCAGCAGACCCCCTGCTCCCCCCATCCCCAGAAGGGGCCTCTGCTGAGTCCCTGCCTGTCACTCTGTGCAGGCCTCACACAATCACCCCGTGGGGCTCACCCAGAACAGCGGGCTCCGTGGGGGAGCCCCTCCCTGTGTCCCCTCCCTGTGTTGTCACAGCTGCTGTCCCCACTGGGGTGAGACCTCAGGCCCCTCCCTGCACAGGGACCAGCCCCCTGCATTGCTAGGACGCGCCTGCAGGGGGCGCCGCTCACAGCTCCTGCTGGGGGTTTTCTGTTCTTAGGAGAAAGAATGAGGAGGACATGTTTAGAGTCACCAGCTGGAGGGAGTGGCCGGGCCATGTCCCTGTCCCAGCAGGAGCAGATGCTGCCTGGGTCAGGGCCTGGGGGACCATGGGGGTGCCTGGCTGTGAGAAGGGCTGGCCCTGCCCCCCTCCTTCCTGTGTCCAAGTTCTCACAGCCCTGGGGCTGCTGGGGATCCCGTGTCCTGACAGCAGACGTGTCTGCACATGTCAAGGGCCAGTGTGTCCTTCCTATTCTGGGCAGTGTCGTCCTCTGTTTTCATTTTCATTAAGTGTCTTTTTCTTTTTTTATTAATTTTAAACGGACAGGTTTATTGGTAAAAGAGAAAGGGAAAATAAAGAATAACTGTACAGTCACAGGCAAGCAGGGAGTGAGTATGCCTTAATGTCTTTTTATGGTGGGGAGCCAAAGAAGGATCTTATTAAATATTAATAACTTTAAACTTTATGCAGTGAAGAGTTCCTGAAATCCCTGAGTAGAGAATTCAGCACTGTAAACAGGTCCAGGTCATGTCACCTAAAGAAGGTGGGAGAGTGGTAATTCCCATCCACTCAGGGTTCTGTGTTTTAACCCCACACCTCCTGCCCATCCCATCTCTTTGGCACGCTCAGCCTGGGAGGGGACTGTGTTTTCTTCCCTTTCTTGGGGGAAAATGAGCCTGGGAGAATGAGAGGGGCCTGAGGTCCCCTCAGCTGGAACATGGTTCCTCCGCCTGAGTCTGCTCCTTAGGCCAGGGGGACCCGGATGGAGCCGCCTGTCCCTCTGCATCTCTGGGGGGTGACAGGCCAGCAGGCAGGGGTGTGTCTTCCAGTCTAGGTGCTTGGTGCCAGGAGGGGAGTTTGGGTGGTGCTGTGCTGCTGAGGGTGCAAGCATGTTTCTGCAGACTGACTGGACCTCCCCACTCTCCTCTCCCCCCGTGATCCCAGGCTCTGGGGCCCCTGCCAGTGACCCGGAGCTGAGCATTACACCCAGGATCATCAATGGGAGGGACGCTGTCCCTGGCGCTTGGCCCTGGCATGTGACTCTGCAGGTGAGGGCAGTCTTCACTGATTGGGGTCACAATGGGGTGCTGGCTGCAGTGAAGAAGCTTCACCCAGATTGTTGCGGCTGTTTTTTTTGATGTGTCATCCCTCCCTTCCCCTACAGACCCCTACTGGACTCCTCCTTTGTGGGGGCTCCCTGATTGACCGGAGATGGGTGATCACCGCCGCCCACTGCAATGTCACGTGAGACCAGGAAGGGTCCTAGGGACCAGGGGTGGGGGTGGAGGTGGGAGTGGCTCCTCCTTAATCCTCACCCACTGGCTCCCCCAGGACATCTGACTGGGCTGTGGCAGGGTTGTATGACCGGAACTCAGTTCAGGACGGAATCCAGGTGCTACATATTGTCAAGGTACTTCAGGCCCCCAGAAGTGCTCTCCAGCTGGATGTTGCTTGGGGGGTGGATCAGAGGCGAACACCGGGTGGCTGCAGCTAGAGGAGCCAGTACACGGGCCTCTATGGTTCTCCTGGTCCCTCAAGATTTCTCCCCCCCCCAAATTTATTTGTTTACCTCCTCCTGGCCCACACCCTCAGATTTTTAGGCACCCCAAGTTCGAGTGGAAGAAATTCTACAATGACATCACCCTGCTGATGGTGGAGGCGCCCTTCAAATTCTCCAAGATGGTGTTTCCCATTGCACTGCCCAGTTCCGATGACAAGTTTCTTTCTGGAACCCTGTGCACCATTACGGGCTGGGGGGACACCCACCCCGGAAGTGAGTGACCGTGCCTCGCTGTGAAGGTCTAGGCTGGGGCTCTGGAGCAGCCATAGGAAACTGTGTGGCTTGGCTTCACGATTTGGGCCAAATTCAAACTGTGATAAATGGACCGGCTTCTTTCGTAAAACCTCTCCTTGTACACCTACCCAGGATGTGAGGGCACAGGACCCGTGATGTCCTTGAATGGTCAGTTTGTACAAATGTAGCTCAGTCCCGGCAGGCCCTGCCCTACTCCCCGGCCTACAGCCAGACGGGACCCCCAGACCAGCCTGACCCGCCCCCGGCCTGAGTGGGCAGGGGTGCCGCCACCTCTCTGACCTTGTGTGCAGGAGTCCAGAGTGGGTTTGGGGCCCTCAGGGTCCAGCCCGATGTCCCTCCCTGGGGCCTCATGGTCTCCTCCACGCTTGAGTCCATCTGCCCAGGCCAGGGCTACCCAGCTGGTCCTTCTCGGGGCAGCAGCCACAGGAAGACTCCCTGTCATCCCCAGGTGGGGTCTGCAGTTAGAGGGATGCCAGTCCCTGTGTGCCCCTCGCTTCCACCCAGGCTGGCAGTGCCCAGCCATGCCACACTGCACAGCAGGGCATCACCTGTACTTGGAGCAAAGTCAGCCCGGCCGGGGGAAGAATGACAGGGAGTCCATCCCTTTGGGGCATCTAAGATCCAAAGGGGTGATGGGCTTTGACCCTGGACTCTGTTATTAGTATAGGAAGAGGGTGACCAGGGAAGAACAGCGATTGGGGATCGAGTCTCTTCTACCTATGTTAAGTTATGAGAAGGTGGAATGTGACCCCCACACTTTCCCATCTGTCTCTGCAGTCCTGAAGACCCCTGAAAAACTGCAAGAAGCTACCGTGCCCCTTCTGTCCAAAACTGAGTGCAAGAGTTTGTTGGGCAAGTGGTACAGCGATTCCATTTTCTGCGCCGGGGCCAACGGGGCCTGCTCCTACTATGTATGTGTTGCTCTAACCCAGCCCCTCCCTGATTGTCCTGTCAGGCTGGGGGGACACTCCTGGCCCCAGATTCTACTACCCTCTTTCCTTGGCTGGCGCCCCGGGAGCCAGGCCCTGAGCCTACCCAGGCCCAGCGGAGGCTGTGCTCTACCAGGCATGGGGGTACTGTCTGTGGGGGTTGCTCACACACCCACCCCCGTCACTAGCTATTTCCAGCTGATTTACAAACCCTGGGTTGAGCTCCCTACCCCCGACATCCACAGAAGAAGGCAGAGCTGGCTGCCCTCTCGGGAGCTTTTGTTGCTGGAATACAGGAACCACCTGCTATTTTTTGGCACCACGTGGCTGTGGCAGGGGCTACCAGGGGCTGCTGCCGTGGTCAGTCTTGCACTCAGGACCTTTCTCATCCCACAGGGTGATGTTGGTGCCCCTGTGGCCTGCAAGCTGAATGAACTCTGGACGCTGGTGGGCATCGTGGTCAGTCAGAATAGAATCTGCCCTAATCTCCATCCGATGATGGTCACCCGTGTCACAAAATTCATGCCTTGGATTGTAAAGATCCAGGCTAACAACTAGTCCTGATGGTCTCACTGCTGCGCCCTTTATCCCCAATAAAGCCCCTGCACAGAGCCCTGACTGCTTGTGTCTGACTGGGGAGGTGGCTGCAGTGCTCCTGTCCCCCACCAGGGGGCGGCGTGCCCCTCCCTTTCCAGCTCAGAGCCCAGAGCCCCTTTGGTCTGGGCCTCCCTGCTCAGGGGCCCTGGGGGAGAGTCCACACACCTGCTGCAGCCTCATTTCTCAGCCTGGTTTCTACCTCCTTTGGTACCTAGTCTTGAAGGAAGTGGCTTTGTATAAATGGGGAGTGTGGGCCTCTAGTGGGTCTGGGGCCTTGGCGCCTGTGAAGGATAAAGCAGAGGGATGATTGTTGTGTCCAGCATGAGTATGCAGTGAGTATTTTTTTTTTAAATTTATTTATTTATACATACAGAACTGGGGTACAGGCTAGACGTGCAGGGGCGGTGAGAGACAGAGTGGGGAGCAGAACAGGCAGATGGATGAAGTACACTGCTGAGGGGAGCAGCGGGCAGATCAGGAGAGGTCTGCCACGCCATGTGGATCACCTCGGGGCCGGGGGTCAAACTCATGCTGAAGTGCCTTTAGCTTCTCAGTGCTGGGCTTTAACCTGCTGTGCCACCAGGGAGGGCTGGGTGTCTACTTCTTAATGGGGTATTTGCTTCCTGCTGAGAAGGGGTGACATTTCTACCTCAAGTAAATGCTCTTGTCTTAGTTCTGATATAATGGTGGTTAAGGCGCGAGGGTCTTGACACTGGTAAGTGAATGTTGAGAAGCACCTGCCCACAGATTGCAGAGAAAGTAATAAAGAAACAACAAAACATATACACCCCAAGGATAAGGTTTAATTCCATGAATAATTAACATTAATAGGATTATTACATGTTGCCTTCATGTTCTCTCCAGCTGTCCATGGTCCAGCCCACCCTGCCTGGGTATCTAATTGGTGCTGACTCTGTGGCCATGTTCAAAGTGTTGTAGAGGGGCAGGAGGGGTGTGGGCTGGGCTACACTTTGCATCACTAGGGAGGGCCCTACAAAATCTGATAACATATTTAATTACCCAGAATGAGAAAGACCCTAAGAGCAAATTTTCCTCAAAACAAGTGTTAGTGCTCAGCCTGAGGAGAGAAGGTTGAGATCCCGAGACGCTGCCCAGGCCATGCAGAATGTCATACACTTTCCTTCCTTAGAGATGGGGGCGTGTGTGGGTTCACACATGTGCACGTGTAATCAGTGGGGTTATTTTTTAGGGAACTATTTGAGGGAAAGGTGACAAAATTAATTCCAGAGCCAAATAAATGTAGGTTGTATTTTACTTAATGTAGAGCTGCACAAGTTAACAACAACAACAAAAAATCTTACTGAGAATTTGTCGGTTCATAAGAAAGCTAAGAGTACCCCAGCGGAAAATACACAAAACCCAAAATATCACAGTGGTCATTGACATTTGAAAGTTTCTCTCTGTGAGATTAAAAAAATGATAGATTACAGCACTGATCAGCTTTATTAAAAAATCCAATTTTTAAAAGAAAAGAAAAGTGTTGGGCTATGATACAATGAGAGGAAAGCCGTCAACAGTAATTGCACAAAATGGTGAATAGGTAAAAATAAAACCCTCCAAAACCGGGGAATAATAATCATTACCTAAAGTATCCAAGGCCTCCGTGCAGTCTTCCTGCTGCAGACACTCAGTGAAAGTGACCAGCAGACACCCAGGAGGCGTCTACACAGGCTGGTCCTGGGGTCCCCCTGAGGGAGGGCCTGGGACACCCCACTCCGGGCCTCCCAGAATCTCCTCCTTGTCCTGACATGAGCCCTCAGCTTTCTGGGTCCTCAGTTGGCCTTTTATGGTGAGTTTTCAAGTCACATTTTAGAAGGAGTTAAAGAATTTATAAAGATGCTTCATAAATGGTGAATTCTCAAGGAGAGAGAATTGGGTTAAGCCAGTGAGACACTGTCCTGCCTCCTGCGCTCCAGCCTGTGTGTCCGGGAGGCTCCGAGGCCCTTTCCTGAGGGGCTGGGCCTGCTGTGTGTCTCTGGCCTCAGGGAGTTTCGCTGAGCAGGAAGAGAAACAGCCTGGGGTCCAGGGCTTTGGGGGCTGTTGTGCAATTGAGACCTGTGCTGAGTTCTGGGTGCCCAGGACAGAAGGGTGAAGGTCCCTGAGATGAGTCTTTGATGAGCACCCGCTGCCCCCATGATGGGCCCAGGGCCTGCAGGGCCCACAGCTGGGTGTGACAGTGACAGTGAGCCAGGAGCTGCCCTTTAGCCTGGTGCTGGGGTGATCTGGCCTGAGCCTATCCAGGATGGTTTCACCAAGGGGAGGGTGACCCTCAGGTCAGGGAGGTCCAAAGGGCTGGGGCGGGACAAGGGCTTCTGGGGATGTAAAAGGGCCCAAACGGGCGCCCCAACATCCAGACTGAGCACCATGGCCTTGCTCCGGCTTCTCTCCTGCGTCACCCTCATTGCAACCCACTTTGGTGAGTGTCAGGGCAGACAGGAGAGTGAGGCTTGGGAAGAGACAGTGTGCTGGCTCCACAGCACATCTGGCCCCCTTGAAGGAATCGGGGTGAGCCTGTGTCCGAGCTATGGGTGTTCTGAGCCCCTCTCTGACCCCTGGGTCTTCTAGCTGACAGTGAACCTGACATTGCAGGAGAGAGTGGCCCTGTGGGCTTTCTGAGCCCTCACAGGTGTGCATGGATGTGAGGATGTATCTGGCCTCAGAGGATAGAGCCCAGGAAGTCACTCAGTTGTGTCCCAGGATAGTTAGTGGGGGACTGGAGAGATCCTCAGGACTCCTTCTGTGATTTTATTTTGTTGGGCAAATAGTTAAAAAAATTCACTCAAGCCATGTCTCTATTTCCACTTAAACAGTTTTAAAATTTCCCTGTTTGCTGCAGGGATCTCTCTGACACCCACCCTGGCTCAGCCGTCCTCCTGCTCCCTCCTGTCCCCTGGGCTCCTGCTGAGTCCCTGCATGTCACTCTGTGCAGATTTCACACACACCCCTCACCCCCTGGGGCTCACCCAGAACAGCGGGCTCCGTGGGGGAGCCCCTCCCTGTATCCCCTCCCTGTGCCTGTCACAGCTGCTGTCCCCACTGGGGTGAGACCTCAGGTCCCTCCCTGCACAGGGACCAGCCCCCTGCATT